GCCATATATTTTCAAGGCTGCCTATGCATCGCAAAACTCGTATTTGAACATTTTTGCTTCAGGAGCAAATGTGAGTAAAATCATGTTTCTTTTCGAGATAAATAACGAAATTTGCTCGCATTTCCAGTGAACATATGTGTACCACCTATACTCGCTATATGCATGATGTTTTCAATATTTATATTGTAAATTAATGTATTAACCAAACATTGCATTGATAYTCAGGTTACATCAAGAAAAAAATTTATTGCTCTTTGACAATAATGACAGAAATAGTATTATTACAATTTCATTTTGACATTTGTTTTGTCCTGTCTCCCTGAACTGCAACAAATTGATACTTCATTTTGACGGACGTTTTTGGGGTTGTCAACAAGTCAACTCGTAAAGKGCTTTCAATAGACGTAATCGGCTAACGTGCTGCTATGTACGTTACCACCCAATTCAAACCTTCTGGGAATAGAATAGTTTGTCTCTACGAATTCAACTCTAAAACCAAAATATAACTACCAATGAAACATTCYCAGAATTGAATTGGGTGGCAACGTACGTAGCAACACGCTAGCCGATTAGGTCTATTGAAAATAATCGGCCGCATATTAAATCACAATGATCGTACTAACATGAAGTATCGCTATGGAGGCTAATTTGTGAATGCCGTCCTTATTTAAGGACGTGCATAATTAGAAATACCGATAGGAAAATAAAATGCATCAATTAATGTATTCAATGAGTACAAAGCTATTTCGGCCAAATGCTGTWGATAATATATTAATCAATGGTCTGGCCACATTAGCTTTTTACGCATTCACTCAATCAATTAGCCTATYTAAGAGAAAAKGCTGGGGCATCAATGKGAGCCAATCTCTTAGAAGGAGGTCCCACCCTTCTCTCTAAACTCATGTTAAGACTTTTTTGAGATTTCCTCCTCTTTGACTTTTTGTCCAAAACTTTCATCAGTTTAGTGACCTCCTCGCTTCTCCATGGGAGAGGTTTCAAAAGAAAGAAGTCCCTTTTCTTTCTTTTGYTCCCCTCTTYTTCCGAATCGGACTCTTCCGATGGATCCTCGGCATCTAACTCGTCTTCGGATGCCGACTCTTCCGAGGACATAAAATCCACTGTCATGACGTTGCAGTATTTTTTTTGTTGTCATCCTCAGCTATGGACGTAGACTGGTTGAGCGCTTTGATACGATTGGCCTTTTTCTGAGAAGAGACGAGAAGGATCGACAAATAACATTGTCAAACGTGGTATCATAATGTAATGGATTGCGCATACGACATGATTAGACCACAGTACTTTGGAATTTGAACCTATAAAATGGCCTCGCGTATCGATTTCCAAGGCTAATATTCAATCGTCGGATAACAAAGGAGCGGTAATGAATAGTCACAGCGTCATATGAGACAAGATACACACTGGGGGAAATTATATTCACTCTAGCTCTTCTGTTATTCGATGATTGAATATTAACCCTGGAAAATCAGTAAATATTTATTTTGCTTATTAATTGTCTCATGTATACCAGATGTCCTCTTTATTAGCCCGGGTGCTAAAAATTATCAGAAGTAATAAGAAATCGCCTATTGTTATTAAAATTTCTTTGTTTCTTATTGTGAGCGAGTTTCATTAAAGGCCAAGAAACCTTTCAAGATACCTTTCCTACTGGTCAAACGGGACAAATTGAAAACCGAAACCATTGTTTTACTATATTATATGAGAAAAAGGTTCAACTCTCAAGCTGTTCACGAAAAAGTTTGATGTGCTTTTTTACTTACCGAGTTCAGTCGCGAACGCTTTCTTTGCTCTTTCAGCACTTGCGAGTCTTTCTTTTGTTCTTTGTTTTGTCTTTGCCGCTTTTTTGTTTTGAAATGCACTCTCATTGCTCCTGTTAATCAAAATTGGAATTGTGTAAGCTATAAAGTCTTGGATCACTTATCATTAATTTAAAAACTTACTCATAATTAGCGCGGTAGAAGTCTTTGAATCAGTGCTTCGAACTCCTGCCAAGATCGCGGCATTTATTTCCCTATCTTGATCATTGAATCTGTAATAAATACCAGCGATTGATTGTTTAGGTATAGGTAGGGTAATTCCAATGACAATAACTGAAACAGTATGAATATAATAAAGACTTACTTTTTTGACAAGTCCCATTTTTTATCGCTTTTGTCATAAACTGCTCTTACATTGCTCTGCGATAAAAACAGACGAAAAGTCAATACCAGTAAAAGTAAAATTTCGTAGCCTTTGACATTGATATTTAATCAGTAAAAATCTCGCTTCAGGGTGTAAAGCACGAGAGCTCAAGGTGCAATCGTTCAAGTCTAAAGAAGATACATATATACATTGGGTTGAAACCTTTTAGCTATTACGTGTTTACTACCAATAAGAGATCACTAGCAATTTGTTAATCACAGCGCGGGATTTGTAACAGACCACAAGTAATGCATGGTAAAATAAATTTRCAGCATCAACCGTAACTAACTTTGCGCGCCAAAACTAATGCGAAACAGAAAATTCAAAGCTTGTTGATTGACTTACCGATAGTTCCTTGGGAAGTCGTTTTGATTGCCTTGTTTTCTCTGCTGTTTCATTCAGCGCTAACTGAACTTTTTCTTCTATACTTTTGTTGAAGGCGTCTTGCCTTTTAAAAAACTCGTTTAACTGATTAGCGATGTCCGCTTGGCTATCTCCGTGATCTTCATGATCCGTGGTATTTCTTGGTGGAAGGAGGCTCAGGAAGCTTGACCTACGATGATTTTCGGTAGCAGTTGTGCGCGGAGTTTCGAACAACTGTGAACCACCACTTGGCAAAACTCGGCTTGTCTCATTAAGAACTGGGGTACTAGCTTCCAGAGGTTCTTGAATTAAACTTGTGTCAGTTGAAGAATTACCCGCATGCTCAGCTGGATCGGTGATCTGCGGCCTTGTCTTTCCCTGACTCGTGCTGGCTCTCTTTATCTTGATCACGACGACGACTTGGCTTGTTAGGAGGCAGTCTGGCCATTTTTTACCACGATCGTTCAGTTTGAAACAAGGAATACACGTGTTCTGGACAAAAGATATTTGAAAGTGGCTACCACACACTCAAGTTTACCGCGCCTTAWGACTGTTCGAGTATTASATTTCAGTGATCTTAGTTCTGGMATGCGGTTGGTTAGATTTGCGCTGTTTGGATAAGCTGTAACGCTATTGGCTTAAAGTAAATACAGCACGTGGTTCTTACATGATATGAATTTCAAAGGTCATAATTATTAATTGAAATATGAT